ACGAACCTGTTTGTTCTCCTAGCAGTCCATGGTATATTCAACACTCTTCTCCAGCACCACAGCTCAAAGGCATCAATTCTCTTTCTATCAGCCCTATTCACTGTCCAACTCTCTGATGCATAGCAAGTAATTGCGAAGACTATAGCCCGGATCAGGTGGACCTTAGTCTCCAGTCTGACATCGTTGCTCTTCAGCACTCTTGAGAGGTCCCTCACATCCGACTTTCCCAATGCAATTCATCTTTTGATTTCCTGGCTGCTGTTACCAAGAGTGTTGACTGTGGAGTCAAGTAAATTAAAACTGTTAACTATCTCAATCTCTTCACCATCCATCCTGATGCTGCCAATTGGCCCAGTGGTGAGAACGTTTGTTTTCTTGATGTTGAGCTTCAGTCCATATAGGAGGCTGTAGTCCTTGATCTTCTGCAGCAAGCGCTTCAGGTCCTACTCAGTTTCAGCAAGCCCCCCAAGGAGACAAAAAAAAAAAAAAAGAAAAAAAAAGAAAAAAGAGTTCTTGAGAAGAAGAAAAAGAAATCTTACCTATTATAATGGTTTGTGACTCAAACTTCAAATAAAACTTACAAAATCTTACCTCTCAGAGAGAAAGATGCCCCAATGAGATATGTTGACGTATGATTGGCTTAATGAGCTCATGTGTATCAGAGACCACGAGGATAGGATAGGGCATAGGATAGGACAGGATTCTCGACTCAATGCCACCTAAAAACAGCTTTTTAATTCGAGGCATGCGAAATGAGGTAAAAATGTCTAAAAAGTTTCCATAAGGTAATTATAGAATAAAATAAAAAAAAGAAGTGCTAAGGAATATGTACCTTTGTCTTTGACTAAGATTTTTTTTTTCAAAAGGTCAGAAATCACTTTATTTTTGTTTTATTTTCAGCAATCACTTTAAAGCAAAGATGACAAGTGGGTAGGGCAACTATAGCGTTAAAACTGGAGCAATTGGGAATATATTCATAGACGGCACATTACAGATACTTTAAACAGAAATACTGCAATTAAGAGAATGTTGACACATTGTGAAAAACACAGTTAATGTCACTGAACAAATGGCGTTGAAATTGTCAAATTGGAACATAATTTGCTATGTAAACTTTCCCTGGAAACATAACAAAACTTTTTTTTTTTT